AATATTAGGGAACTATCAGGGAGGATTTACACCTGGAAAGTCAATGATAGATCAGATATTCATCCTCAGACAGTTATTTCAAAAAGCATGAGAGTTTGACAAAGATATAAGAGTTCTTTTCATTGACTTCAAGAAAGTGTATGATAGTATAGTATACACAGAACAAGTCTGATCAACTCTCTGAAAGAATTTTATTTACCACAAAACTAATAAGTTTAATTGAAATAAGTATCACAGAAACTTTTGTTAAGATTAAGGTAGGAGCTGCAATATCAGACCCAATACTGGTTTAGTCTGGGTTAAAGCAGGGAGACTCCATATCACCAATTCTGTTTAGCCTAATTCTAGGAAAAGAAGTAGTAAGAGAAATGAACATACAACCACAAGAAGGTTTTAAACTACAGGAATCGGATGTAACTTTGTTGGTGTATGAACGATGTGATACTAATGACTAATGAGCAATTCATATAATAATCTAAAATCACTGTTCACCTGGTTAGAAGAAATGGCTAAGAGAGAAATATTACAAGTAAATTAAGATAAAACTGAGTACATGGTCATGGGGAGAAGAGATAATGCTGCAACATTTAACACATGGAAGTAGGTACCTAGATAGGAGTTCAATAGAGCCAATCAAGTCAAGTACCTAGGTTCAATACTAACAGGAAAAAAATGAAACTGACAAAGAAATTGTGGCAAGAATTGTATCAGGAAATAAGTGCTTTTATAGACTCTCAAAAATATTAGGATCCTTGTCATTAGAAATGAAAAAACAGTTACATACAACCTTAAAATGCCCAGTTATCACTTATGGGACAGAGACCTGGACATTAAACAAGAATAAAGAAAGAAAACTACTAGTCTTTGAAAGGAAAATCCTCAGGGAAAATGTTGGGCCAGTAAAAGACAGTAAAACGGGAGAGTGGAAAATAAGAAAAAACAATGAACTGGAAAATCTATTTTAAAAAAATAACATAGTAAACACACATCTTGATAGCTCAATCATTTTAACATAATACAATTTACAAAATGACAACAATAAATAATAATTTGCAGTCATATTAGTAAATATTAATTATTAATTTTTACATAAATGTATAATATAATAGTACACATAACAAATAAAATTTTCACATTTATTAAAATTTAATTATAAGTTGTAAAACTAAAATCCACCTAAATCCAGAGATAGAAAATACTTGTAAATAGGTACATTACGAAATTAGGAACAAAAATGTAAATAAAAGTTTTCAATCCTGGCCTAAAACCCAACACTATTCACCACTCAGAATATATTGCAATAATTTTTTACTGATGCAATTGGCATATTTGAAATACTTCTTAATTATGCCAAGGCTGGAACTTTGATGGTATACATAGGCGCAAATAGGGGGGGGGGGCTTAGGGGGTATTAGCACCCCCAATTTTAAAATTAGCACCCTCAAATAATTGTTGTGTTTATGCATCAAAACGTCTCTTTACAAAAAAAAAAAATTAATTAATGTTAATAAAGTTATTGACTCATTTGCAGAAAAAGACAGACGTATAAATCTTGTATAAACTTATACATAATTCTTGTTCCTGTAAATTGTAATACTTATACTGACTATTGTATTAATTTTTAAAAATGTAATAAACTAAATATTCAAGGTTAAATTGTTAAAAAACATTTTTGCTCGAAAAACTAAAAAGTCATTAATGCCTCATAGTTATAATTTAATTTTAATTTAAGAAAATTGCAGAAAATGCAGAGTTTAAGCACCCTCAGTTTTTTTATTGAAATTGCGCCTATGATGGTATAATTAAATTAAAAACTCATATTATAATATTTATAATAGTATGAAACTTTATTTTGCATATTATTCTTAAAAGAGCAAAAAATAAATAAATTGCTTACACAAATTTAATGTATTTTACTATTTTAACAATGTTGTGTAAATATTGTGTGACTTCCATGTGATGATGGCTTTGAGCTCCATACCACAGATGACAATCCCTCCTATTGACTTATCGTTTTCTTTTTTGTTTTAAGACATTGGAGCAATAAGTACAATTATTCAAAAAAAAAATTGATAATACAGATAATAATTAAATACATTTTTCAAAAAATTCAATAAATTGTCTTGTTCTGATGTTTACATATTTGCTCATATTATTATGTGTATTTGTCTGTCTTTACAGTTCTTAAGTCCCGAAGTCTAGTTATAACCTTTAGTCTTTAATAACTTGTAATTAGTGAAACAACATCAGAGTCCTAATTAATATAATTTAATTTTGAATTGATCACATCTTTATACTGTGAAAAGGTGATGTTCTTTCAATATCGGTTTGATTTTATATGTATCATTTAAAAAATGTTGAACACGCAGTTCAATCATACAAGTTTTTGAAATCAATTTTGTCATTTTGAAGTGTTTAGAAATGGTATATCTAATATTAAGGTAATTCAAACAAAAATGTATTTAGTAGCCAGTAGGTATATTCTACATAAGTCAAAAAAAATGCAGGTACCAAACCTATTTGTATAAATTTTAAATAATTGTAATCTGTTTATTTTTATATTATAAATAATAAATATTATGTAAAATTATTGAGTAGATAAAAACCGGTCACAATATACAATATAAATAGTATAATAGGGAGGTAGGTATATTATTATCTAACGAGTTGTTTTTTTTTTATTATCAATACAATAATGTGATTACACTTGGGTAATTAAAATTAAATTAAGATATTAAGCAAAAGTTTTATTACTACCTATAATAAATTGATAGTTAGATCGTACAGATTATTAAGGTTATACAAAAATGCATCGGAGTATGACAGAAGTAACCTAACAGAAGTATTAGAAAATATGAAATTCAAATAAAAATAGCTTCCTTAACTATGAACTATACCTCAAAATGTATCAAAAAATAAATCCTATACCTATGAATCATATTTCAAAAATATAGGTTTCAATTTTAAATTTAAAAGTTACCTCTAAAATTTCCCTTTCTTCGTTAATAAAAATAATAATTAATATTAAATTAGTTTAGATTAAATGATTCAAAGAGGTTTTCACATATGTCATTTTTTTCCTAATTTAAATGTATCATGCTGAAATCTGCTACCACATAAACTTTGAAACACCCTATATATAAATTGGATGATTTAAATATTGTTAGAAAATGATCATTTGTATCAGATCTCATTAGGTATACCTAGGAGAATTAATTTTATTGGATTCAACATTTTTGATAAAAACATGGTCAATGCACATTTTAGAAAGATTTCACTCTCTAGTAAAATTATTAATGCACGGTAAAACTAACATTTTTCGTCTTTATATTTAATTTTTTAATTTTGTTAATATAAATGTTTCCACAAAAAGTACTTGAATATATTGTTAAACATAATTGTTATTAATATTTGATAAATCTAAACCTTGGATAAAATTTTCGATATCATAATTTGGTGATCAAATGCAAATCAATGAAAATGTTAGGTCATTCACATTAAGAATAAGATAAATAGAATTACACTTTCATAATTAGGGCATGGTTTATTGTGGAATAAAAAAGTCAAAATATGTATTAATAAACATGAAATATTTTTTTAAAAAAATCGGAATAGACCCAAATGGGACCACGTTTAATGATATCTCGAATTATGAAATCGTTTCATTATAAATAGGTAACTTCCACGTAATTTGTTCGAACAGTGCTTTCATCGGGAATTGCTTGTCCAGTGTAATTTTCCAAAAACATTTTAAAAGTTGGATTTTTTTAATTTAGAAAGTGGAAAATCAGGTTTAATTAATGGTGCGGCTTAAATCAGTATTAAAAAATGACTTACTGTTCGAGGATGACAAAATTCTGAGTGAATTTAATTTTCCTTTCCCCATTTTCTTTGTGCTTTGTTTTTATATACTTATTTATTTGTATATAATGCGTTACATAAAACGTATATTACACGTTGCAAATAATATACAGATTTTTCATAAGCTACACCAAATAACACGAGGCCATCACTCTTGAGTCTTGAATGTTTTATTGGGAAATTCTTAAAGTCTCTTGCTCTTTTGGTTAACGGAACTTTCCGCATGATTATTATCGGTGTAATACACAGAAAATAAAAATATAATGAACCCAACCTCCCCTAAACAGTTAAATGCATGAACGAACGAAAACAATAATTGCACAAAATGGTGCTTGTTCAATAGTCAATACTGTAAGAAAACTACAGTCTACCCAATTAGGCTACGTTAAAATGTTTTATCTATTGTTATCTCTTATTTATTTATAACGCCGTATATTAATAGAAGCCGATGGAACAAACTTTCCAACTTCTAATATAAGAATTGTACAGGTATTCAACAAAATATATGAAAATGTGTAAAATGAAAATGTCTCATCTTATTCAGGGTGCTGTGAAACGTGCCTTTTTTAAATTAGAATTAAGAAATTTGCTTTCAACAAAATTATGTATATACGAACAATCCGCACACTATAGTCTATAATAATACATGTTTTTCAATGTGTACTGTATTCAATGAGTCTCTAACATAGTTACACCGTCACTTTTATTGAAATTCCTTAATAATTTAACGTTTCATACTCATTTAATATTTTAATTAAATTCAAAATCATTGAGTAGCCACTAGCCACGTTTCACAAGCTAAAAAATGTAGTTTTTAGGACATTTTTGCACATTATTTACGAGAATATTCCTTCTCGTGCCCGCACACCAGTACACCACACTTACTATTATACCCGGTATTTTTGATTATAGTTAGGTCTTTGGTTCTCAAACTCTTTTTTTATTATCACCTGATAATTGATATCTACTAAATGTCTAAATACTTTTTCTTCCTGAAAATCTAGATTCAAAAAACAACTATTTTCTTTAACATTTATTTTATTAGCTTTTGGAATTACAAAAAATAACAACTATTATTTAATTAAGATAAAAAAAAAATTAAGGACTCGTCACCATTTTTAAGTATACAAAATATAGTCTTAAATTGGAAAAGTTACTGTTTTATTCATATATCTAATTATTAATTATTTGTTTACAACATTTAATTTTTAATTTTATAAAAATATAGTTTTCCTCTACGGCTACAAAACTTCTAAATGTGAAGATCAGATTTATTATAGTCAGTGACACAACTAGAGCCAATCACTTTTGTAGGAGGTGGAGGGCAGGGCTGTAGCCTCTACCAGATATTACATAAGTAACAATTGTATTTGTAATAATATGACATGATTTAAACAATGTGCTCAAGGTAGGTATTAAATAACAAATTAAGTAATAGAAATATTAAACAAACTCCTTTGTATTTTGATATAAGAAAATAGACACTTTGAAAAAGTATTTTAAAATTTAACTTGAGCATTATAAAATATTGACTATAATATTTGATGTACACTGTACACATTTAAATATTATAATTTTATTTGGTTGTTACTTTTATTGTTGAGTTAAAAAAAATTGTTTTTAAAAGTAGGATACACTGGATGATACTTATATAAACTTGAAATATTAATATTAGTAGTAGTAATATTCAGTCGTTGAGGGCAGTTAACAGTCTAAAAAGTTGGCAGCCATGAGTAGTTCCAAAGCGATTTGAGGCTTGATGATGAACTCTGGTATTTCAGTAGAACTGTTCGAATAACGAGCTTTGTACGTGAAGTACATACAAACATTATGCAACACGTGCGAGCTAAACAATAGGAAATCATTATATCAATACTTCTGATAATATGGTTATTGCTTACGGTATCTCTCTGAAGTGGATTTCGTTTGTTTCATTCTCTGCAAACTGACCGGGTCCGCTCAACATGGCTTTGATCGTACCCGACATCAAGGCATGTTCCCGCTTAACAATGAACTCGTGCCCATCACTCGAAATCAGCTTGATGTACATAGCATCAGGGCCATCGCAATTGCCGGACCCATTCTAAATGTACACTCAAATATCGTAAGTTTGTTTTCAATATTAGGTAACTAATGCATTTCTTAATATACATAATTTCATTACCTCATTTTCTTGAACCGCGTCGACGATCATGTTTTTTTTCGTTCAACACTTTTGACTTCGGGACCGTGTGACAATCAATAGATCAAAACTTGTGGAATTGAGGTGAAATATTATAAGAACAATAATATTATAGTTGACGAGAAATAAGCAATATTAGCAATAACACTAGACACACAGGACAGACCTAGACGATTTCCACTTTTCGGAGCCCACTCACTCACGTCTCTCACTAGGGCAGTAGTGCAGCTGCTGTGACTTAGGTGCTATATCCAGTAGAATCACTAATCATGGTTGAAATATACCTATAAGCACAGAACTATAAGGTTAATTCATTTATACCCCCTCTCAATCAAATAGCTAATGATAAAAACAAAAATGGCAGCGTAAAAAGAGCAATCGAATTTTGTATGATAAGACAAATTGATAAATGTTGTAATTTGTGATATCCCTTTACCATGGGCATCCATGGCATAGATTATTACCTAATCGCATAATTGATTTATCATGGCTAGAATAATAATAATTAATAATATACTTACATCATATATATATGGATCCTTACCTATCGAAACTAAAATATTATTTTTAATAAAATACCTATTATAACTATTTAAATTTACAAATATTTATTAATTGATTATACTTATATTATATTTTGTTATTTATTGAAATTTAAAATGTTCAGTAAAAACTGATCGTGTGAAGTCAACATAAGACGCTCATTATTTTAAGGATTAACGTTTTTGAAAATATTTTCTTTGGGTGGTTTCAATACGCTTTTTTTAAAATACTTTTTTACCTCTATAATTTTTTTAAGATTTGTTATAATATAATATAAATATATACCAATGCTCTATATTTTATAAGTATATAGGATTCGTTTAATATAGATAGGTTATAGGTGTCTAGTACTTAGAATAAAACATTTAAAAATTAATATTAAAAACAAATTTACTTAATAGGTAGGTATTTAAATAAGTAGAGGAAAAAAGTCACTAATTTATGGTACTCAGATTGACTTTTGTACATTTTTCTATAGATTGAAACACTTACATATACATAAGAATTGAAACGCAATGTAATTACTCAATGTTTTTTAGATATTAAAAGCACCTATCATCATTTTAAGTTTCATTACACAGATCATTTTCATATTCATTCAATCTATGATATTTGTCTGACTGATTGTTGTTCATCAGCTTTTAAGTTAATCAATAATAATTAAACCATAGGCGTAAATCAATATCTTAAAATAAAATACAAGATAGAAATCAATAATTCTTTAAACATAGTGTATAATAGATGAACAACTGTCATTGAAATAAAAATAAGATATTCTTGACAAATGACTAATTTGGTCATGTATTTAGTTTTATATCAATACATACAATATCCACATCAAATAATATAAACCAGATAATTAGGAATCTGATTAAAAGATATAATGTTAATATAGAAGATAATTTAATATTTTACGTCCTTATCATTCAGTAGTACTAAATTATATTTGTATTTATCTCTAACATGAGCTTAAAAAAATTACAATCTTAGAAATAATTTTAACATCACTTATGCCATTGTGTGTGTAATTTTTCTTTAAAAATGATGATTAACAGTCACCAATATGCATACTAATACTTTCATAATAAAATATAAACATCATTTTAATAATAACTAACTACTAAGCCTAATTCTAACGGTTATACCTAATTACAGACCTACACTACATCATTATTTAGGGCCTACACATTGTACAGTTGTAAACAAAAACTTAACTTTCTCATCACAGGTGGGACAATCTAAATTATTTCTAACCTGTCATTGCTCACATGTGAGAATTTCCTTTACTTTGTTTTTAAATTGAAAACAGCTGGACTTATGTAATTATATCCAAGTCCTCAAAACTATCATGGTTTAAGCTTTATGTTGATCAGTCAGTAAGTCAGTTTGTACATGGTCAATTATATATATATAGTATATATATACTTTATTGTTAGTTTAAGTTAATATATTGGGTTCCAAAATTAACTAGATTTTTGTGAGAATTATTTTATACACAACTAACAACTAACAGAATTATTATACATTTTATAGGTCAATGATTATAACATTATATTTATGGTAGAATAAATTTAAAAAACATTTAAAATTGTATATTATTTATTCTAGATTATACTAAATAAGTTCATCCCTGAAAATTGAATAGTTCCTTTATGACAATGTATTGTCAGGTCACCCAATCGCTCTATACATGAGCAATGATATTCAATTTTATTTAAAATTGGCTTCACCGAGGCCTGATTATAACTACATTGTATGTAAAACTATTATACAATTTATAATACACATGTATGCTATAATATAGTAAAAATTAAACCTAATTAATTTCCATATAATTGAGTAAGTAATATAAAATAATACATTAACAACTAACATGCGTTACTTAAAAATTAGCTTCTAGAATTTATAAGTAAGTACATGTTTTTACTTTGACTAGATAATTTAATGTAGGCAAGTAATACATTTTTTTCAAATGATTTATAATAAAATGAGCCATACTCAATATTATATATTTTTATATATTTTGTTTTAAAAACATATTTTTACATATATATCAAGATTCCATATTTTCCTATATATCAATAATTCCATTTTCGCCTATAATATATTTACACAATTTTGATAAAATACGATTATTTATTTTGTCAACTATACAAACTTATTATAATTCTGTGTTCCAAAAGCACGTGAACAAAATAATACCAGTTATTAAATTTAATTTATAGTCAAAGTAAAAAAAAAATAATACTATTTAAAATACCTTTCATACAAATGATAACCTATTAATAACAATTGTGAATTATATATATTTTTCAATTTCTTTTTAAGTCTAGTGTATTTAAAATTGGTAGTAAAAGAAGTTTTATTTTTTTTATTTATTATTATGTGTTCTATTTATTTATCTGGCACACTTTAATATTAAATGAATGCAATACTATATTTATTTATTAGTAAATTAATTTATAAATTTGAAGATTTTATAAAATATAGATAATTAAGTTGTTTAAAAAAAACAAAATTGAATGTAGTTATAGGTATATATATATATATTTTTAATACAAAATAAGTATAATAATAATTAATTAATCAAACAAAAACACATAGAAAATCATTTACAGAACATAAGTATATGTAAATCTGTGCCCACATAATAATTTATAGTTACAATAAAAATAATTGACTATAAAATTATCATTTACCATTCCAATAATGTTTAAACTATCAAGTTTATGAAGACAAGAATGTTTTAAAAGCTTATAGATTATTTAATTCTGAAATTGTAATAATTTGTGAAAATCGGTTTTCATTACTCAACATTAACAATCCAAAAAGTTAGCTGCCATCAGAAGTTCCAAAGCGATTTGTGGTGGAATAGGGAACTCTGGAATCTCGGTTGAGCTGTTTGTGTAACGAGCTTTGTATGTAAAGTACATACAGACCTTTTGTAAAACGTGAGAGCTATAAGTAAACAAGAAAAAAAAATATTTTTTAGACTTCTTTTGACAAGGTTTGTACTATATTATACATTTATACGGTGGTAATCACCAACACCACTTACGGTATCTCCCTGAAGTGGATTTCGTTTGTTTCGTTTTCTGAAAACTGGCCAGGGCCACTCAACATGGCTTTTATTGTGCCTGACATCAAGGCATGCTCCCGCTTTACGATAAACTCGTGTCCATCACTCGATATCAGCTTGACATACATAGCATCCGGACCCTCACAGCTACCATATGCTGAATTGTCCTCATCCTATACACAAGCAAGTATCATAACATTTAATTTGGTCATTGTCACATCATTGCAGTATTTATATTTTATTATCATAATATACATATATCCTGTATTATCGTGGACTCCCGCCGTATAGGTATAAGTGCATAACTATTTTTGATTACTTAACAAAATTTAATTTATAATAACAATCCCTCAGCCTGCACAGATACGTGTGCCATACTCGTCGAAATTAATTGCTTGCCTTATGTATCGCCAATTACTACCAGGTCATCGGGGCAAAGTGAAACATATTATAATAACATGTTATTTCAATATGTAGGAATAAGTGTCTAGTCTAATACTGGTGACATCAAAATCCTCTCACATTGTTTGGTATTAATCTATCATTGGTTCGCGGTACCAGAGATATGTAAAACGTCTTATTAGTCACAACGTAACAGCAAGTAAGAGTCATTTTGTCGAAAATGATCAATTATCATTGTTACCTGACCGTCTTCCACCATGTCGACACTCATCTTTTCGCACGACGTGTGATCAATGGCGACAAGGACGATCCGCGTTCACGGACCGGTAGGGCACGAACGAAGAAGTGAACTTGCAACTTCAAACAGTTAAGTTTAGGCCGACGAAGAGTTATTGCGATCCAAACGACGCCATAAACATCCAAGAGTGGTTGCAACTTATGACGGAGGCCACTAAGCCAGTGAGAACGTCAATCAGCGATATCGGTAATCGGTATAGACTCTAGAGGGGCATAATATTTTGATATCTCGAAACTACATTCTCATTTAATTTCTCGATGTGTTGCGGGCCGCGGTGGCGTTATCAAACAATTCGTCGTCGACAACACGGCTATAAATAAATAAAATTACTTAACGATCCCGGCTTGTTAAAATGTTCTCATTATTTAATACAAAAATAAGCTCATTATACTATATAGAATGCTAGCGCTTCCAGAGGACTCGGTGGTGTACTGTAATGCCCGTGAAATCCTGTACTACAAAATGAATTTAATTTTATCTATTGCTATTGCTTATTTATCTACTAATGTGCTATGACTACTACTGTTGAACTGTATAGATTGATGGTAGAAAAGAAAGGCTCAGGGTAAAAAAGTCCCGGAAGAAAAGTCTTTTTCTAAAGATAATAACTAATAAATACAAGACAGATATATTAAAGAAAAAAAAAATAGCAGATAGGTAATTATATATTTTTTAAAAATATGTCATTGAATCATAGTCAATAATATTATTAAAAAATAATTCTCAAATTTTTATAGACACTTAATCTTTTTACCCATAAACATGTTTGGGTAGGTACCCGTTCTCATTTAGTAAACCAAAATGTATAAAAAAGTGTTAAAGACTTATTTAATCTATGCAATTTAATAATGCGTGTCATACTGTCATGTTTAAATAAAAACAGATATTGCCTACATACATTTTTACTTCGTAATTGGGTTCTACATTAGTTAAATACAATCTTATATAATTGGCAACATTTAATTTGTTCCTTTATTAACTTTTAAGATGAGTTAAACTTGAAAAATCTTTTCCACACAAATAATTAGTGGAAAACCCAACTGAAAATTTAACAGCAATGCTAGACAGTTATTCTTATTTCCTTTCCCACACAGATCCAGACATCTAACAATGTAGTTCCTAGTTTCCTACCAAAACTTAAGTATTTGTTGTTCATCGTGGATAACACGAGACTTCGACGAGCCGAGAGTTTCACTGCAATGACGCGAATGCACTGCATTGGCGTGCATCCGTCCAACGTCAATATATTATAATTGTCAACTTGGTATTACGGCAGCCGCGCTTACACTGGCGAGTGAAACGGTTAGGTACTGTCATTGATTATATATACTAGTATATATAATATTGTAGGTATATCAGTATATGCCATATGGTACTGTCTAGTCTGTACAGTTTTAAATCTGAAATTCGCAATTCGTATACGTTGGATTTCGGAGTTTTTTCCTCTATTCAAATTTGAAGGTTTGTTGGTCAGACTCGTAACTCCTAAAAAATATTCAGTATCCCAAGGGGTACGCATACCATCAAGATTTTCAAGAAAGAATTTGGAGTGTATCGGTACGTATCGGGTCAATTTTGAGCGTTCAAGATGTTACACGTGCAATATACCAGCGATACATACCGACCCGTCACCCGTATCGGACTCGAACTCCGATACGAGGCGGTACGTAACTATTTCGTATTGATACGTATCGAATTTTTCTTCTTGAAAATCTTGCATATTTTGAAAATCACTACTCTATCACGATTAAAGATATACGTATATCTTTAATCGTGCACTCTATAATACAGTAATACACCATACTACCACAGGAACCGCTAGCAGTAAATAGTTTTCGTCTGATTTGATAAGAACATTTGACGCCATTCCCATATGCAGGCTACAACTTTAATAATAATAATTATATTGCGACATTTAGACAATATTGTCTATGATTTCAGATTTGATATAATTTTTAAGAATTATTTTTAGCAGACATCATCATAGATAATATATATATATAAGAAATGATCTATATGCCCCACTATTCACGAACTAAGATATCTTATATTCTTATATCTCATATATTATATTTATTCTGTGGTCATCGAAATCCATAGACGTGACTAATTTCATCCGCAGCGACAGCCGAAAAAAAAATTTTTTCGATCCCAACGACCGGCGCTACCTTGAACCGAAAAATGCTATACAGGCCAAAAGACCCAAAGCTGTATTTTTTAAAGCTTAGGCTCCCAATGAAATATTTATATAATTTTAAAAAAGTCTGCATTATCTATTTACAATTAATAATCTACAGAAGTACAGAATTAATTTTGCAATACCTACCTTTAAAGTTTAAATTTTACTATAGACATATTATTTATCTACAGCCCTGGATTACACCAACTAGCTAAAAATAAAAAAAAAATAAATAAAAATAGCGGGAAAGTGGAAGATCGCTGTAATGGATGGTATCAAGTCATTGTATACGAAAAACGATTCTGAGCGGAGACGGTATGTCGGTTTAGGATATTTTATAATATTGTTATTATTTATTATTAATGTGGTAACTGGTAAGTTGAATTAATATTATTCTTTAATTATCAGTGATGCTGGAAAAATATTAAATATAAAACTCAATGAGATCATAATTAACAATTTACTATAAAAATTGATAAATTAATTTTGTTCAAGCTTTTAAACTTAACTAATTGGTTAATTTTCTAATTAGCTTAATAACTAATCTAGTTAAATAATCCAATGTAGCAACGCTTAGCTTATCCCAGTTAGTTTGAAAAATGGAAAATAATACGTTTATTCATCATGTGTAAATAAAAAAAACACATAAATATTACAATTACAAATATATTAAAAACGAATTAATTAATTTGTATTGTTTAGTCATATAAATATAATAAAATTATAATTCTTAATAAATACGTGACGTTATAGTAGTCAAAAACTGTTTCATGAATTAATCGTGAAAGTTTAATTTCATTATTTTTAGTATTCTTCGAATTTTGTTAGTGTACCAGGTACCTTATCAGAATACATCAAAATATAAATCAAAGTGGCTTGAAAAAAAGTCACAGGCAAATACAGTATCTAATTATTTTCCAACATAATATGAACACTTTTACAAGTTGTAGCTACTGAACCTATGGCAACGGCGACAAAAAAAGAATATTTTTTTCTTTCAAGAGATTTAAAACGTACCTTCGGAACTCGACTGGTGAAACTCGTCTCAACATATTTCACAGGGAAATAAATGTTGATCCAGAAAAGGTGCTAAATCAGTTTGCAAAACAATCTAGGAAAATGATGTTGATTTAAAATCAAATTTGATTAATTTATATTAATACAGATACCTAAAACACTAATATGGTTCTATTTATAAAAATGACCCCTTCCCGGCTTCCCCCAACAAAAAGTGCTGGACACGACCATGGTTTTTGATATAATAATCAAAAGGTATTTTTTTTTAAATTAACTTTACGATACGTTAGTAATTTATCATACATTTTTGTCCTGTCATTATAATATTAATTATTATTTAATATTTACTGTCATTTATATGGTTTATATACATATAATATTTTATATTGCGAAATAAGTAAAATATAATTTATGAATAATAATAAAGACAATATAATATTTAAAACATTGATGGAAGGTAAGGTGATTTGTTAGTCTATTTAAACGTAATATTGCAACATTAAGTTTGTTTTAAAAAATGGAAGTAGTATTTTTTAAATTATACCAATTATTGCAGGCTTGCGTAAAAAATTGATCAATGTGATGGACCAATCGTGAGCCAAGTCATATTTAAGGAACCATAATCTCACTATTGATTCATGTTTAGTAATTGTTCAAGCAACCTGGCATGGCCATGGCGGCATATAAATGATATTATGGTTATTAATTGCTATCTGGCATTATATTATTATAATATAAGACAATATTCTACAAAACGAATAAAATGCGTAAAATTACTAAAATTATCGTCTATAACGTATTAAGATTTTAGGTACAGTTGACAATAGAGAAACTGTTACTCTATAGTTTACACACAACAGTACATTCAATTCAAAATTATTTAAAAAAAAAATAAAAATGTTAAAAATATCCATACACAGCCATCGGTGGCGGCATCTGTCTATAAATCGGGGAACTATGGAATATTGCCGTACATTTCGGCATCAAATATCAATAATATTATTGTTGTGCCCGGAGACTTGAGATTACAAAGCGGCATCGCGTTATCTTTCCACATCACGGGTACAATAATTATAAGTTACATATTATTATTATTGTTATTTATTATTACCAAACACCAACAATGTAGTTATACACTTTTGTGATATTACGTAAATATACGTACACATGTATACACATATGCGTGCATTATTATTATTGATTATTAATAGACAGCACGATGTAGAAATAGAAAAGATATCTCGATAGGCAGTTGAACAACATATTAAAACTTATTAAAACAAAAGGTATATATATATATTTAAATCGTACGTATGAATGTATAGACAACAGTAGTTACTATTATGACTTGAATGCGATTTAATTTAATGTTATTATTTACTTTGCGATGCTATATTATGGATGATTACGTGTTCGATTTAATATATATTAAAATGCTTAATTCATATTGCATACTTGCACATTGTGTTGCATCTTGTGAACTGTTGCAAAAATGCGAAATGAAAATTACCCGTTCAGGCCCTGTTTGCGATTATTGTAAAAAATCATAATTATATTGATATTATGTATGCCGTAGTTAAATTTAGTCGGCGAATGCGAAACGAATGACACCAAATGAAATGTTCAACGAGAAATATAATATCATGTACGAGTGATGTAGTTAGATTTATTCACCATGCACATGTCCATACGCAGCTGTCATACGTTTTTGAATTAGTTTTTGACTGCTCTGCCATAATGAATCCAATTTTTACAAACCGTTATCAATTTGTATATATGAAGAATTATCATGAAAAAAAATTAGGTACGCTGTTAAAGTTGTATTAGATTAGTATAATACATAAATCTATGTACAAATTGTTTGCCAAACGTGTTAAAAAACGATTTGTTTACTCTAGGTTTAGGCATTGGGCGCATACTACTACTACCCATGCTAAGTTGTAAACTGAATTACTAAACTGGCTGGTTGACAGTCAATGACAATGGATGATGTCGGTGACATCGAAGACTTGATTTCGTCTGTTGCCGATGTTGCTGAAATTGGTAGAGTCAAACCTAGGAATATTGTATCTCTGCGTCCCAAAGTTAAGGAAAAACGACTAAGGGAAATTGATCATCCACCATCCCAAGTCCCTGGCACCCAAACAATATTTATTAAGACTTGGGGATGTTCACATAACAGCTCAGATGGGGAATATATGGCTGGTCTTCTATCTAACTATGGATATAAAATAACCGGTAAGACTAAAAAATCCTTGATAACTATTTTTTAGCATTAAAAGTATCTTTTTTTAGAGGACAAAGCCATTGCTGATCTGTGGATATTAAATAGCTGTACAGTGAAAAATCCCGCTGAAGATCATTTTAGAAATGAAATTTCTACTGGGAAAAAATCTGGAAAATTTGTAGTAGTGGCTGGTTGTGTACCTCAAGGAGATAAAAAGTCTCCTTTTATTCAAAACCTAAGTGTTATTGGAGTTCAGCAAATAGACAGGGTAGTAGAAGTAGTAGAAGAAACATTAAAAGGTTTGTTCAACAACATTTCTTTTGCATGAAACAATATTTTTACTTACTTTCAATAGGACATACTATTCGTTTGTTGGGTCAAAAAAAGATAAATGGAAAAAAAGATGGTGGTGCCAGATTACAGTTACCAAAAATGCGTAAAAATAAATTAATTGAAATTATTGCTATTAGCACTGGATGTTTGAATCAGTGTACCTATTGTAAAACGAAACATGCAAGGGGTAACCTTGGTAGTTATCCTCCAGGTAAATTATTAATGTAGTAACATTCACTGACAGTTGTTAATTCTTATAACAATAGCAATATAATATTGTTTAGATGAAATTGTACAAAGAGCCATAGAATCTTTTAATGAAGGTGCAGTGGAATTGTGGCTAACAAGTGAAGATACTGGTGCATACGGGTTAGACATACAAACGAATTTACCAGAACTTCTTTGGCGTTTAGTGGCTATTATACCTGAAGGTTGTATGATGCGGATTGGTATGACTAATCCACCATATATACTCGATCATCTTGAGGTTCAGTAAAATCACATTAGATGTAAGGAGATAGCGATTTAATCATTTTTTTAAATAGGAAATAGCCAAGATTTTATCCCACCCTAGGGTGTATGCATTTTTGCATGTGCCTGTGCAATCAGGAAGTAATCAAGTACTAGCAGACATGAAGCGTGAATACTCAATCGAAGAGTTTGAAACTGTTGTTACTTTTTTGAGACAAAGGTAAATTTAAATTTTAGAAACCATTTAAATTGTAAAATGTATATGTTTAAATTATTTTACCAGAGTACCTGGTGTTTCTATTGCAACAGATATTATTTGTGGCTTCCCAACTGAAACAGAAGAAGATTTTTCTGAAACAATGAGTGTTTGTGAAAAATATAAATTTCCTAGTTTATTTATTAATCAATTTTACCCACGTAAAGGTACACCAGCTGCAAGAATGCCCAAAATTCCCACAGACATGGTAATCAATAATATTGATTTTTTTTTATGAAATTACAACCAAATTTTATTCATAGGTTAAAATTCGAACTAAACGTCTGACAGAATTATTTCATTCTTATACCACGAATGACCATAGCATTGGTGAAGTACAAGAGATTTTGATAACCGAAGAAGCCAAAAATGGTATTGAGTTGATTGGACACAATAAATATTATGAACAGGTTAGTAACACAAAAATTAATCATTTGGAATTCTAAATTTGGAAAATTAGTAACTCTCTAGTATACATATATTATACTAGTTGTATTACATTGAATAATAAATTGTAAAATTTTCCTTGGATATTTAGCATAATGTATCTGATTTCTGTAAATTTAATTTACTTATACAAATTGAGGATAAACCTTAAAGTGTCAGTCTTTTTTTAGGTTTTGGTGACAAAAGAACCAGAACTAATGGGCAAGTGTATTAAAGTAATCGTAAAGTCAGCAAAAAAGCATTGTCTAATAGCTGAAATGGTAGACAAACCAAGAATTTTTAAGAATAACCTTCAAGGAATCAACGATACGTACTCGATATGGCCTGTTTTTGCTTTATTAGTTTGCGTTTTAGCAAGAATACTTTGGTTATTCGTATAACATAAAAATTATGTAGTGTATATAAAAAAAAGCTTTAAATACATTTTCATGACCTCCATGTAACTTCAACTTCGTCTGTCCTAAACCTGAGAAAAATTATTTATGATTATATTAAGACTACTTTAGCAATTAATAATTTATTTTATTTGTTTAATATTTGAATAATTAAACGATACCTCTGTGTACAAAATGTATCTTCCCATGTAGTCTTATATCCACTTTTATGCATTAGTGCTCCAGTATGAGCTATCATTACTCCATTGTCTATACAAAATCTATTGTAAACAAACATTTAAAAAACAATATATCAATGTTTATTTTTAGATTCTAAAGGAAGCAAAAAATTCATCGGTTTAATAATGTTTTAGTATTTTTTTTTTATTCATACATATTACATACACAAGGTAATCCTTTCACGTGTCGACATTCATTATTTTGAATGGTTTACATGTTTATAAAAATATTCTTTTTTATATGATTCGATGTCAGTGCAAAACATAATTTAAAAATATAATTTGTTTTATTGTTATTTATCTTAATAATTTAATTGCTTTTTCAAAATGAAGTAGAATATTTTTCAAAGAACTTTGATTGATAACATTGAATTTTGAACAGGTAAACAACTAAAATGTATTTTAAAAAAAACCTTGAAAGATGCATTAAAAATCCAGAAAAATGCAGTATACACAATGAATATACTGGATAGTATATGAAGAATCATACTTTAAAAAATACAAAAATAACTTTAATTGAAATTATTTTTAAGTGTACATTGTACAGAACTTTTCAAATATTCATAGTACAAAATTCAACAATAATACATACATACATAAAAAGTTCTAATTGATGGAAATTATTATAATATTGAAATTAGGGTGGTAAAAGAATGGTACAAAACAGTCTAAAAATGACCTAATATTAATATTTAACGCTGTCGTTCAAAACAGTAAAAACCTAAAAAAATTATAACATGTATGATTAAAAAATGTTGTTTTGCAATAACATCACATTTTATTTTTATTTTGCATATATCAATGCCTGACAACAATTTCACACATTTTAGTTATTACATAAAGACAAGGCCGTAACTGCAAAATTAATTTTGGAGGGGGGTTTTAAGCTAAAATAATGTATTCTAATTTTATTAAAATCTTTGAATTCCGATGTGATTTTCAATATTTATTTGGACCCCCCCCCCCCCATATACACCCTTGCATAAAGATAACATACATACACAAATTATATAAAAAAGTTCAAAATAATGAGCAAGCACCAATTGATAACTTTATATATATTCATTTTCAGGATGTTAACATTTGTTTTTTTGTGGTTATTCAGAAGTATAATGTAGTTACAATGTCTAATAGAAAATTTGGAAACTATACACTAATGGTACCTTAAACTTGGGATCTGAGTTAGTAATAAGTATAAAAAATTAAAATACAAGTACTTCAAAATTATCAAAATCGATGTGTATTCATAGTCCAGCGTACACAGGAAATAAATACATGGGTAATAAGTTATAACTAATAAGTAGATGCATATTAAAAGCAAAATATATACTTAATATTAATACAATATAATTGCATGTCTTTTATTAATTTACTTTTTTTCTAGGCAATAGTGTGGCTAATGGTTTTTACTATAGATTTTATACTACTAGACAAGTAACGAGTGTAAGGAACGTAGCAAAAGATAGAGGGGGATTTTTGATTACACAATTACTCGGACGCAAGGTAGTACGGTACTATATGCATAGGCCTATTTATTGACCATACCAAATTGATAGGTTAGGTACACATATGATATGAGTTCAGTCTTAAGCTAAACTCCAAAATAATTATTGTAAATATGTCGTCAAAAATCACTGAGATATTTTACTGTCACCTGTTATTATACACATTACTTGTCTAGTAGTATAAGGTCTATTGTATTTACTTGCTTGTGTTTTCTAACTACACAGACCTTAACATTGCTTTATATAAGAACATGTGGGGATAAAAAGATATGAAGACCCTTAATTTTAATAACTTTCATGAGTTATAGAAAAATAACTATGAATGTTAGTTGTTCATCAAACAATAAAACATCAGATGGCCCTAATAGTTTAATAGGTTTTACAAAACATTTTAATTTTCAAGACAGTTTTGAATGTTTTACATACTCATTACTCCCTTATAATTAAAAATATTATTAAAAAAACCAACAAAAGAAATCTGACGAAGTACCTACCTTAAAGTTAAGAAATTTCATGGAATTTAGCTGTATAATTTTTATTTTTTTGAAACTTGAAAATTTAAATACGATTTGAATTGAACAATAGATATTGATATGTTATGTAAACATTTTCAAAAACCTTGAAAGATAACTTTATGAGCAGTAATAATTTATAGTATATTTTAAGTCCATTTTTTCATATAAATATTAAAAAATAATTGTTTACTATATTATGATTGGTTATTATTTATTATCTTACCTTTCATCAGTAGCATATAATATTGCACTCCTTTCTTCACACATAATTTTCATCATATCTTGTAATCTTTCATTACAACCAACACCTCCGACTATAAGTACTTCTTTTGACTGACAATGAGACATTGCTCTTTCTGAAAAAAAAGGCATAACAATTAAATGTTGAAATGTACCTTATTTTATCAATGCTCTATGTTATTAATTTTTTTTTTTACTCTTCAAAAATAATGAAGCAATTAAAAGTTTGATCATATATTTTAAAATATTATTTTGATAGATACTACTTTTCACCTTTAAGTGAAAACTTTAATACTTAATTATATTAAATTATCCTATAAAACAGTATTTTGATATAACAAACATTGAGATAAGTTTAAAATTATGTAGGCAGACTGACAATAATTTTTAAGTGCAGTATATTGATCAATAATAGCTCTGATCAGACTGTATATGTAAGAGAAAACATAAAAAGTTGACTATCATTAATCTATGTAAATAGTGGGTGTTATGGTTTTCGATTAAAAGATTTTTTTAATTTAGTGTAACATTGGCAGGTAGTAACAGCAGCTTTGGGTTATTTAGTATAACCTTAAATTTGTAATTGCAAATAACTTATAGAACTTATGTGTGGCATTACTTATTTACTTACTATTTCATTAAAGGGCATACATAGCTATGTTTAAGTACTTTAAATCTAAATCAATGTTAACAACATGATAGTATGGTAAGTCAATTACTTTTTAAATATAGAATATAAGGTGCTATGGCCAATTTTATTAAAATGATATTTTAAAAATAATTATGCCAATTATATGATTTTTCACTACTGATTTCATACATATTTTTATTACCCTAAACTCTAAAGTAATAAACAACTTTCTTGTACAATAGCTGATATCCCTAATTGCATATTGCATATTTTAATTAATATTTTTCATAAATGTTGAGGAATATTTTCAATTTTTGAAGTAAAGTAATACATGTTTAATACAGATTAATTGGTACATTTGGATATACTAGTGTGAATTAATTTACTATTGAATTTTAAAAATAAAAATGTTATGTAACAAATCTGAAAAGCCTATTTTATGATATGCATTGAAACTTCTAAATACTGTCACTGTTGGTTGCTGCAATTTTGTCTGCTATTTAGAGAAAGAAATTTTGTTTTAATTAAATAAGAATTATAAGTTAAATTAAACTACAAATAATTTTATTTTTACATTAATTAAATACATACATCATAAAAATTAACATTTATGAAAAAAAATCAGTTACATTAGCTTGTGCTTACTAGCTCAATGTCTAGTCACTTCAAAAATCAAAGCATTTTTTAGTTAGACTGTGTTTAGGAACAATGTAGTATTCTTTATCTCGATAGAATAAAGGTATTTACAAACGCCCATATTTGTATTTGATGCTTGAAATCAAGAACGTCTATTATATATTTCAAAGTTAATCGTTTTCTTTTATTGACTTAGAGTAGAACAATAAACGTTCGTATACGTTTGTATTAGCATCACAAACATAACTAAACATGAATCCAACAACGCATTAGTCACAACCTTTCGTTGACTCAAATAATATTTCAACAACTGAACAGATAAAATGTACTATATAGTATAATAATGTATGTAATAAAATATAACCTTATATATAAACTTTTATTTAGGTATTCCACAATTATTCTTAGTTTAAGATAAAAATTATACATTTCAAAAATTAAAATGTCATAAAAGTGTTTGTTATTTAGAGGTTTCCCTATAGAAAAGTATAGAAAATATCCCCGTTCCTGAAAAAGGCCGTTATTTATTTATTCAGATGTTAAAGAGCGTTTCACTGTATTTTAAGAGAGAGATATGAGCAATGAGAATTGTTAGATAAATAAATTAAATAAAATATTCTTATTTTTAAACTTGATACTAGAAACCTAGTCAATTCACACTAATATTAAAAATAACATAGTTAAATGGATTATTTAGAACTTACAATTTGATGTTATGTGTTTGTAAGATGGAGACAATGCATCTTATTAATGAAAATTTAAAACCATATGACTGCAGGGTAATAACAAATTATCAGCGTTTAAACAAATTACTAAAAATAAATATATTTGTGTTTACCTGTTGTTTCTATTAGCATTGCAAAAATAGTTTCTTGAAGTGAAAAACACAAATCTTCAGGAGTATATTCACCAGATGACAACAATGATGGAGCTTTTTCTTCTATGTAGGATAGTAAACCAGAGAACGATACATCCATACCTTTTACCACATAAGGTAATTTAAGATATTTTTTACCACTTAAAACATTATTACATTATTTGATACAGATTTTAAAATTTTAATTTAACAAGTATTCTATTACTTTTTAGCCATTTGTTCAATATTGTAACCAGGACTAGGATCATTGGATAATTTTAAAACTCTTGCAAATCGATCTAAGCAATTTCCAACAGCAATATCTATTGTTTCACCAAATATTCTATAATATTTCCCAGAATATGCTATGACTTGAGTATTTCCTCCACTTACATATAAAACAGTAGGGTTGTCACTACCAGTTATTAAGCGACCCATTTCGATATCTGGGCATGATTATTAAGGTTGAATTAAAAAAATTAGTAACAACTAAAAAAGTCTAATGCCATAAAAGGATACGTGCAATACAATGGTTAACAGGTATTAAAGGTTTGTTCCAAAGTAGAGCAAGGGTGCGTGCCACAGCAGCAACACCAACTAAACAACTACCAATTCCAGGGCCTTTTGTAAAACATACAACATCAATCTGTTCCAGTTGTATGCCAGATGTTTTAATTGTTTCTTCTAATAACAATATAATGTTATCTTGGTGATGTTTTGCAGTTTCTCTGGGTAAAAATCCTAAAAACAATACAATTCAGGTTTTTTCAAATATAGGTAACAATTAAACAGGAAGAAAAATGAATACCTTCACCGGGCGGTGTTATGTATGTTCTTCTACAATTCGCCAGCACCTCACCATCTTTAACGATTCCAATAGCTAGTTTATTTGCACTACCTTCGAATCCTATGCTAATAACCATTGTTTAGAAATAAACTTTAGGTAAGTTACTACTAAGGCACTATACACTGGGTTTGTCACTTTTTCATGATCGACCATCAGTTCCACTTGTTTCAGTAAAATTCAGTATTTCTGTGCGAGTCTTTAGAAACTTCGATTTCGCAGTTCATGATGGAGCCAAATCAGTAATTACTTATCAGTTATCACTTTCAACAGTTTTCCGGCCCATACAACACAAATCCACGAGGTATTCATGTCTGCAGTGGTATCACAGTGGTATTCTGGTATCACGGCTATAAATATTACTATCACAGAATAACTTTTTATCACGAACTAAGATATATTAGTTCGTGCTTTTTACTCCGTGTTACTATCTTAAGACCTAAGTCGTAGGTGCCAGGTGGTGGTATTCATGACAAAGTATAACATGAAAAATTATACCAGTAGACAGTCACTACGTCAGCGGTGATTTAAGACTGGACTACTGAAGTCTGGAGAAGACAGTGCGGTCAGTGCCACAGTGGAGACGTTAGGCCTCTTTTTCCATTAGAGACGGTACAAAAGATTTTTGTTGTTGTTTGAATGAGACTGTTGAACCACGGTTACGTGTAAATTGTAGATATTTATACCTTCTGTAACCTAAATCTAACATATGTTCTGCATCTACCTATTTTATATTTTTATCTATAATATTGTTCTGTATTTTCGTAAAATAATAATACAAATTAGTAATTATTATTTACTACCTAGTACCAATACAGTTAGCATTTTGCAATTATTTATTTTTCGTTGGGTATGTAATTTATTTTTTTTTCTTACTCGTTTTACTGTTTATCCCCATTACATTTTTTTTCCATTTTAATTAAATTTATTATTTGCTTAAATCTTTGAATATTTTCTTTCATAAATTGATTGTGTTTTTTACTTTTGTTTATGAACTATTAGTCATGGATAAATTCAGGACATCCCGTTATAAATGTTTTAAACTTATAACATGATTAACATGAAATTGTCAGAGCTAAAAATATAAAAACGATTCTGTGCTTTGGACTAAATATTGTGTAAATAATATTAAGATGTCGTCAAATAGTACTATTGAAAATTCTAAGAATACTGGTTTGTAAAATCTGTTGACGGGCATGTGAGTACATTATTATTTTACTTTTTTGTGTTTTATGATAGATATGCTTACTCGAAGTTATTCAGATCGAAGTAATGATCGAAATCGAGATGCTAATAGTAACCGTGAACGTGATTATGATGGACTAAAGCAACAATGTGATAAAGCAATGCACGAGTTAATGATGTTGAGAAGGTATATAATTATTTTAACGTCAAAACTGTAAATAATGTTAGTATCTCAAATTGTTTTCACTATTACAGACAACACGGAGAAACAGTACGAAGATATGATCAAACTAGAAAAGAATTAGAATATTATCGTGGTCAAAATCAAGTTATGATTAATCAAATTGAACAAGCTGCCCAAGAATCATCATCATTACGAGCTAAACTAGCTGCCGAAAAACAAATTTTAAATAGATCCGAACAGGTACATATTTTTTATAAATTATTAAACATTAGAGGGAGAAAAATAATTGTTAGGAAAAATATTAGAGTAGAGTAATAAATAAAACTGGTACAATAAAAGCAAATAAAAATAACAAATTTACAAGTTCTAAAAAATTATTTTGGTATTAGATCAGAACCAGGATTGTATTGTCCTATTGATGATACTAACATATTTTTATTCTTATTATAACGTAAAAAATAAGTATAATGGTCAAATCTCATTATTCCATCAAATCTATCAAAATTAGCTTTCTGAAACTATTACTGAGGTTACTATGGTTTTTTGAAAAAATAAACTGTTATAACATCCAATGTAAAAAAGATCGAAAAATTGTTGTCTTGTTGGCAAGAGAGAGCTATTAGAAGTAGAAGGATTTATTCTCTGATGAAAATGATACTATTTCTTTTTGTTGAATTTTTGGATAGATATTTTGTAGTTTATTTTGTTATTATAAAATGCATTTAGGTTGGACAATTTTTCTGACATTATATTTATATATATATATATATATATATACTATTGTAAATTATAATAGCTTACTTAAGAAATTGATTGAATTGGAAAAATTATATATTAACTAGCTTTGATTTAATATTAGTTCATATGTCTAAATGCTAAACAAATTAGCATATTATATAACAAATATGATTTATCTAAAATACTAACAGAATCAATGTAACTTATTAATTTAAGTTTGCAAAATTTATTTTTTCAATAATATATTTAAGCATGGATAGAGCAATAAATTATAACATAAAATATATTAAAATTGTATTTTTACGTTATTAAAATATTTTTTCAGGATATTCCTGAAGATGATACAGCAAGTGGTGATTCGCTAAATGATCACTTCATGCCATATGATTCAAGGCTAGAAGATTATGAAGCTTTGAGAAAGGGATATGAAGACTTGCGCACTACACATTCAGCAGCTGTTGATAAAATGGATATGATGAAAGATGAAATAAATCAACTAAAGAAACAATGTAATGAATTATTTAAAGAACGGGATATAGCTTTTCGAGAAAGAGATGGTTTAAAACAACAGTGTACAGCTGCTATACGCCAATGGGATTTAACACTTCGAGAACGTAATGATCTTCAAGAAGCTATACAAAAAGTTCAACAACAACATGAAGAAGCAGTTCAAGAAATGAAAGCTGCTGTTGCTTATAGTGTAAAAAGTAGTAAGGAACTTAAAGACTTGAATAAAGCTCATGATGCTGCTGTTAAAGAATATAGACTCATTATGAGTGAGCGTGATAGTGTTCATAATGAACTCGAAAAGCTCTCTGAAGATTTATCTCAAGCTTATAACAAAAATAAATCATTGGAAAATGAAATAAAATCTTGTAGAGATGAAAAAAAAACTTTACAGTTGCACGTTGAATCATTAAAACGTGAAATATCATCAGCATTACATGATCGTGATAAAGCACTTAAAGAATGCAATGATTATCAGGAAAGATTTGGTGAAATAACAGCTAAAAATGAATCTCAAAGAGAATTTAAGAGTCATTTAGATTATGGCTTCAGTAGAGAAAGAGAAAATCGAAATGATTCACGAGAACAAGTAGCTTCTTTAGATTTATTTAACTCTTGTCAAAAAGAGCGTATGGATAATCTAGATCAAGCTAATCAAGAAATTGAACGTTTAAGAAAATTAGCAGATAAATATCATAATGAATTAGATGAGTCTCTAGAAGAAGCAGAAGTATCTAAAAGACGCCGTGATTGGGCTTTTAGTGAACGTGATAAAATTGTGTTAGAGCGTGAAAGTATACGAACCCTCTGCGATAGTTTAAGAAAACAGCGTGATGATGCTGTGAGCAAGTTAGCGCGTGCTATGAGAGACTGTGATGATATAATGAAACAAAAAAGTGATACTGCTAAAGAACTCAATGATTTTAAGTATGATAATAATAATTTTAAATGCAATTTTTTTCTTATGAAAATATGTTTTATTACTTTGTAGAGAAAAAATGGAAGCTCAATTAGAAAAAGAAGCTCGTTTACTACAATTACAGGCTACTGGTCGTTATAGTCAAGACTCTGCAATAGATACCGACCTTCAAGATTGGGATACAGAAATATTAAATATTGATTTAGTAAGTATTATTTAAAATCTAATCAGCTGACATATGATTTAATGTAAACGTATATTTTCAGGGTGTTTTAGGGACAAATGAAGATTTAGGGATTGATTTACTTGGTGGAAGAGATGATCCTTTGTATCCCAACGATAATGCTATTTATATATCATCTGTTAACAAAGGAAGTGTTGCCGCAAGAAAATTAAGGTTAGATATACTATATTTTTAAAATCTGTTTATATTTATACTACAACTTTATAGTATATATAAGAGTCAAATAGTCAATTAAATTCTTTAAATGCATATTTATCTCAATAATGCAATATCCAATCTATACATTTTGTACACTTAAAACTTAAGCAAATAAACTGTTGAGAGGGTACTTACTTTTGGCTCTCAAATGTTGATAATGTTTTAGGACATTCCTTAAGAAAATTAATCTATCTGAAAGAATATTAAACTACTTACAGAAAAATATGATTTTATTTAAGAAAAATGTACAAATGATAATCTTATGACGTTCTGCCTAATTTACAATTTTACAACAACTGCTCACCCAGTGAACTCAGGCTCTGTCTGTATAGACCTAAAGGTTTGTGTCAGCACTTCCATCCTCGCTGGACGATCAGTTCATGGAGTTCCTATACATTATGAAAACATTTATACTACATTATTACTTGATGGACATCTTAACTAAACACTCATTAGTTAAAAGGATATCAGTGTACTGTTAGTTTTCTGTCTGATCTATGTACAACATAGAAAATTTAAATTCAACTCAACCGATTTGGTATGGTTAGTTTTAATATTAGAGTGATGGATCGATTATAATAATTAACAGTAAAAATATTATTTAGGATACCTCATAGGGTTTTATTGATGTTTTAATGTTAATGTTATATTTAATTATTTAATAAATGATAACTTAAAATATTTAATTTTTTTCTTCTAGTTAATATTAATGCCTATCTATATTTTTTCTTCTAGAGTTAATGATTGTATATTAAGAGTGAATAGCCTTGATTGTACATCGATTAGTAAACGATTAGTTTTGGAGACTATGAGATCATTAAGCAGTGCTACTTTAGTTGTAAGACGAAGAAAACCTGCGTCTCCATCTAGGAGTCTTTTTACAACTCAACTTCAAGTAAATAATTATGATCATGGAATCTCACTGGAAACTGGTGTATACATTAATAAAATAACACCTGGATCTCTGGCTGCTAAAGATGGAAATTTAGATGTTGGTGATAGAGTATTAAGTGTAAGTAAATGTCAAATGAAAATAAATAATTTGTCTGAATATTCTTATTTTTGTTTTGTTTTTAGATTAACAATACAACAGTCGATAATATAAAACATTCAAGAGAAGCAATGCTATTACTACATGAACCTGGTGATGTATTAACTATTACTACTATGAAATCAACATATTGTGCTGGAAATTGTGGTTCCGGTCCAAATCGTGATATTTATAAAAAATATACGAATAGTACAACACAAACAGACA